AACTGATTGCTACGATGTGCACTGACCACCAGAGGTGCGTGTGGAATATGGCAGGCATTGGCTGCAGCAGGATGTTGGAGCAGGTCAGCGGGGGTGCCAGACCAAGGCAGGGCGAGCCTCTGGTGGTTACTGAAAATTCTTTGCTCTTGCACACCTCAGTCCTGCCCGGTGCTCGCACCCACTGCCAGCACCAGCCCCAATTGCACCCACAGCTGGTGCCTGGCACTGGTCCCAATCACTCAGTACCATCAGTGGGTGCAAGCAGTGGCTGCTGGTCCTGATTGCCTTTGAGGGCTTCTCCACCTCCTCCTGCTCCTGACGGTGATTGGGGCAGCAGCTGCTGGCACTGGCCTCAGTCACTCTGTGCTGTCTGCGGGTGTAAGTGGGAGTGGCAGTGGAGAGACTGAGGCTGCCAGCAGACAAGGGACCAGGGGGTACAGAGGAATGGCTAAGACCTGCCCTTGTGCCCACTGCAGCCTCATGGCCCTCAGCTCTTTTCAAGATGCACAAATTCATGCACTGAGCCTCTAGTTTTAATATAATAGTGCTGTCCAATAGAACTGTATGTGATGATGAGACTATTCTCTAATTTGCACTGCCCATTCTGTCAGTCATTAGCTACAAATCACTATTGAGCTCTTGAAATGAGGCAAGTATGATGGAGAAGTTGAATTTCCAAATTGTATTTAATTCTAATTAGTTGAAAGATCCACAATCTGATCCACAAGTATCAGATTGAATATCCTGAATATAATACTTTCTCATACTCAAACATACATAAAATTATTTTATTATAATAAAATCTAATGTTTTACCAAATATCCTACTAGTAAGTAATTAGTTGTTTTATTTTTTAGCTAGCTTTTGGAAATACTGTGTCTAAAGTTTTTGCTCTGGATGCAAGAACATAGGACACTAGAATAAGACATATCTCCTTACTCTTTAGCTTAAAGACTATAGTTATATCAAACCTAAAGAACTGTGGCATTTATTTTGTGTACTATATCCTTAATATTTATGTTGTGAACAATGATAAATCAATTGCACTTTGAATGGCATAGGATTATCAAAATGGCTTCGTGGGCTAAAATTGAGAGTGCTGTATCTATTGTATGCTTTTCATAAATTCATTGTCCACATATAATTTTGTCCAGTGATGACTATACTATTAAACTATTAATTAAAATATTTTAAAAAACATCTTGGGAAATGAAAATAAGTTATATTGTCTCAATTTATGTGAAAAATATGCATTAGTGTCCTTTCTCTTTTTCATGATTGTCCTATTCTCTCTTTCCTGTGAATTGGGACAGTTATCACTACAACTAAATTAATACATTACTAAAGAGCAGACATGTATTGTTTATTAGACTCTGAAGAAAGTAGTATTAGACTATCTTAGAGATAGATATGAAGAAAACTTTCTTACAGAACAACGCACTTTTTGGTTTCTTAATTCTCATCTTTCCCTCCTTCACATCATCAGAAACTACTAGAGACTCTCAGCATGTCTGTAAGAGACTGACTCAGTGTGCTAAGAAACAGCAAACAACAAAAACTCATTGGCTTTTCTTTGATTTCCCCTCACCCCACATTTATACATTAAACTGCTCTTGCTTATTTCATCAATGCAAGACTGCAAATTCATCTTTAATTTTCTCTGCCACTAATGCTGGCACAGAAATTTTATAATTAAAGTAACTTTATAATTAAAGAATATTAATGACTAGAATAGCAGGCCAGATGAGCCTATGACATATTCCTTACTTCATAATATGGAGGACATGCAATTTATCTATATAACATTAATTATTTGGTACTTAAAGATAAAACTATCCTATAAGACAAAATAAACAAGTTGCTTAAAGTAAAAAAATACATAAAACAGACCAAGTTGAGTAATATGCTTGCAGTGCTATGTATACACGTGTTAGGAGCCACTCTAATGTACAAAAGGATTACTTGCTCAATAATGCCAGAAATGTTCCCATTTATTTATAGCAGTTGTGAACACAAATATATGGTCATAAGAGAGACAAGATATATTGTTTTCATCATCTCATGTTTATTTACTTTGGAGTAGTTGAACAATATTCAAGCATTTTGAACCTTTTGGAGTAAAGTCATTCAAAAAGCATTTGATACGCCTTCCTTTCAGAAGCTTACAATAGGTTATCTTTTAGTAATTGGTTTTGAGAACTTTAATTCCTTAAAGCTATCTGGAAGTTAAAGGTCGAATTTGCTAAACTTTTGTAGTGTCAGTAAATTTTAAGACAACATAGCCAGGAATCAATATCCTGTCATTAAAAAATTGATCATGTAATTGATGCCAGAACTCAGAAATCTATATTCACAACTTGCTTTATGAAGCTTCACACGAAACAAAGAGAATAAAAATGTAATGTACTTTTTTGAAACTAAATGAAACATCTTTTCTAGTAACTTTTCTGTGAAATAAACTGGATTTAATAATATACAATACATTGGACAAATAAATGAGATGACTCGTCATATTCCTAACAGAAATTTTGTCTTAATTTTATGCCATGTTAAAAGAGTGTCCTATTTCAAACTAGTATGCTGCTGATTTATTTTCTAGTCTGTATAAAGCAGTGGTAAAATTAAAATTTGAAATGATATAGTTACAAGTGTAGAAAACATTTTTTCTTTATGGGAGTCTTGTGCATATATTATATTATGAGACAAGTGCATTACATATTAGAATAGAATAGAAATCAATATATTGTGACCTCTTACTTTAATTAAATTGAATGCCATAGGCATGATTTTGAATTAAAAAAATGAAAAAAGATAGAAAATCAATGTATTTAATTCAAATTAAATCATCACCATGAAAAATGTTTAGGTTAAAATAGGTTTGAATACCTTTTGTTAAAGCATGAAGCAGTAGCACCCAGGTGGATTACAAGTTTACAAATACGCAAATGGAAGAAAAAGGAAAGAAAGCGCTTCCAAAGAACAGAAAACATTTTATATTTCATCAGAAGGTTAGGGAAAGGTGGGAAAGAGAAATTATAACTTCTTCTTAAATACTCCTTTCAAACAGCAATTCCTGCAGAATATCTGCCCATGTAGCACTGCTAACTCTCTCATGCAATTTTATGAGAAGCAGAATTGGTGAGCTTTCTCAAAATGTATCTTTCTTTGCTACAGCCCTTCTAGCACAATTAAAAGAATAATTCATTCACTGTGTTTCTTAAACTTTAAATTTGACTTTTAGCAGTAGAAAATTTTCTTTAAATCTAAGACGTTATTTACAAAATCATTCCATATTCTAAGTACACATGTTCATTTCTATGTTTCTCTGAGCTTATTTATAATCTTCGGATTATACATTTATTCTTTTTAGTTAAGGAATTAACAACTACCCATTTCTCTCTTCTTTTTTCAATATAAATATATATTTTCATAGCATTCTTCTTGTATGCTAAAGCAAAATTTGGCTTTTCTGGTCATTTTTTTTTTTTTTTTTAATAAGGTCTGTGTGGCACTGATTACCAGGATTTTAAGAAGTGTTTTCCAGAGAATTTATAAATTTCTCCTAATATGCTAAATTTCTGGTCTATGAATAAGTTATATTTGGGTTTGTTTTATTGTTAAATATATTTTTATTGATTTTTTTACAGAGAGGAAAGGAAAGGGATAGAGAGTTAGAAACATCTATGAGAGAGAAACATCAATCAGCTGTCTCCTGAACACCCTCTACTGGGGATGTGCCGCAACCAGGTACATGCCCTTGACTGGAATTGAACCTGGGACCCTTTAGTCCGAAGGCCAATGCTCTAGCCACAGAGATAAACCAGTTAGAGCTATATTTGTGTGTTTTGAAAGCATATCCAATGCAAAAGCTTAAATTACAGTAACATCACAGTTATTGCTGAGAATCAAACTTTCTAGACTATCAAATTTATGCTTTGATAGGTCAATTAAAAATAATTTGGATAATTTTAAAGAAATCACTTTCCAATACTTATACTCTTGAATGCCTTATTAAACACAGTATATGAAACAGATTAGGTGAGTCAGTAACATCAAAAAGATTGAATATTGTACTATTGTTAAAATTTACTGTGCTAAAATTATGTGTACTTACATGGTCTCAAACTATACTGGTGGTCTACTATTTGATATTCTTTGACTTTCCCACCCTTTCATTTGTTACTTCTGTGAATAGTTCTCATAACCAGCCACTGTTCTCTTAATTATCAGTTGTAATTGAGAGAAATGGAAAGTTATTAGGGGACACAGGATGTCCAAGCTTAACAGATGAATAATATCCTTCACTTCCTAACTATAAGTCAATATGCTCTGACCTGCAGGTATTTTCTCAGTTCTCTGGAAGACTAAAATTTATGGGCTTAATTATTGCTGTTCTTTATTTGCTCAGAGAATTTCTTTTGCTTATTTCTATAACTAAGACTGAGTTTTATTTGATTGAAAATGACTGAAATTTGAATATAATATGAGAAGTCTAATTTTGTAATTATTACCCAAGAAGTCCATAGATAGAGGATATGAAAAACAGCTGGTCGATGTTTCTCTCTCATTGACGTTTCTATCTCTCTATCTATAAAAGCATTAAAGAGAAAAAACACAGCATTGTCTTTGTTTTTGTTCCCTAATATTGACAGATTGCACCTAAATTTTACAGAAACAAATTAGTCTTCAGTTATTCTTCAACTGCATAAATGTAAAAGGTAAATGCATATAGAAAGCTTTTCACTACGTCATGCTGTTTGTTTCTTAGAAAAATAAAGTTTGGGGCCAAGCAATCATTCCTGAACAACTAAAATGTAAATTTAAAGATATCCATGCATTGAAATGATCTGCATAATTTACTTGAGGCTGTAACAACACTGGGATGTGATGGACCTAAGTTCAAGCTTTGGAAAGCATTTGCAGAAGGTCAGTTCCTTCAAAGTTTACTGATTAAGGAGTGTGAAGAACATCTGAAGCATCTTCCAAGTTTCTGTGACATTTCACTCAAGGAAGTCACATCTGCAAAAATGAAAGTTGAAATGGTTAAAGCTATAAAGAACTCTGAAGATAAGGGGAAATCCACCAACTGCAGCTGAGAAGGGCCAAAACTCTAATTACTTGGTGTTTCATTATGGCTTTTAATTATGCGGCATATTTTTATTACAAAAACAACATGCAAAATGTTAAATTCTGATTAAATATGTTACAAAGAGCATTTCTTATGTATAAATAAGATTCTTGTGCTCAAGCCATACTTCCTTTGTTTGGGTACCTGCTATAATCTATTTCTTTTGAGATTTCAATCTTGGTTCAAAGGATGTTGCTGTGGTAAACAAAAGAAAGATAAGAAAGGCTGCCTACTATCTTCTGTTTATTGTTATGATAACACATTGATATTTGTTGTACACTCTGCTCTATTTAAAGGAAACAACCACATAATGGCATTTAAACATGATATTTCTGTTATTTGAGTTATGTTAATTTGAATCATGGCCTGTTAATATTGTTCTAAAATAAAAATTTCCAGTATAATACAGCACATTTGCCTCACATTATTTAAAGTCTTAAAGCATGTGACGGCACAGTGGAGCACAACTAATAGTCATATTTCATCAAGTAGAAGTCCTGATTTCAGTGACAGAGGCTCAGAACTTGCTACTTGCATCTACAGAATTTATGAAACCTAGACAAAATACCTCTCTGAATTTGAATTGCTTAGTGCTGGGGTCTATTAAAATTTCAAACCTTTTGCTGAAACCAGTTTGGCTCAGTAGTAGAGCATCGGTCTGCGGACTGGAAGGTCCCAGGTTGGATTCCGATCAGGGGCATGTATGTGCGTTTGTTGCGGGCATATCTCCGATAGGGGGTGTGCAGGAGGCAGCTGGTCGATGTTTCTCTCTCATTGACGTTTCTATCTCTCTATCTCTCTCCCTTCCTCTCTGTAATATCAATAAAATATATTAAAAAAATAAAATTTCAAACCTTTGGGCCAATGCATTAGTGATTTGAGGAGAATATTGAATAAATATCAGGTTATTTTCTTTTTCAAACACATATCAGGGAAGAGGTTAGCCATTTTTTTTCCTGAAAACTAGATAACACACATGAGATGTTTCTAGACTTAACCTTAAACCAAGCAAAACTTTCATGATTAGCACTAGTTTCACTTTTAGTGTGAAGACTTATAGTGAAACACAGAAGGTAAAAACCCACAAATAAACCTGCTCTAAAAGGGTATACATTTCCTCCCACAAAAGTGAAGCCAAGATTTTTACAAAGTCTGAGATACTGTGTTTGTTTTAGAATTGAATAATCAGTAATGTTAGCATATCAATGATAATTTAGCATCCACAAGACCATATAGATCATAAAGAGAATATTGGCCTCGAAGGCCAGTGACCTAGTTCTGGATCTTGCTCTACCTGAGGATCTGTAAAATTTGGGGCAAATCAATTTCCTCTCATAGTGTCTGTGTTCTTGCTAAAAAAAAAAAAAAAAAAAAAAAAAAAAAAAAGATTAAATCAGACTTTATGTTCTTGAATTTCTATCAACTTAAATTCATAACTAAGTCATTACAGATTATTGTGATGACTCAAATTATCTATTAAAAGATACATGCATTACATTTTCTATATAATCCAAAAGAACACTGTGACAAAAGAAAAATATTGTAAGTTGAATGGAAATTAGAAATATATATTTTATGTCTTTCACTTTCATGCACTATAAAAGATGAAACTTTATATGAGGAAGTCACAATATATCTAAGAAATCTTGGTGATAATGGCATAAAATAAAGACTCTCTCTATATATAAAAGCCTAAGCAACCATTAAGATTGGCCAATTGGCCAATTGGGTGACTGGTCGGTTGTTATCACATGCACTGACCACCATTCAATGCAGGAGCTTCTTCCTAGTAGTCAGTATGCTCCCACAGCCAACCTCGTCTGGTTCCTCTCCTTCTTCCCTCCCCTGCCAACCAGGCCAAGAGACCCCATCTGTGCACAAATTCATGCACCAGGCCTCTAGTAGAAACATAATTGTTGAGTAGGTGAACTCAACAATGGTTGATAAAAGGGAAAGATAGGATGTATGATGTTCAATTCTTTCCTAAACTTAATTTTTATGATATAACCATCTCAATATTTTAATAATAATGTGCTTGTCATAACATTCAACAAAGTCTGTTAATTCCCACAACAATTCTGTAAAAAACATATTAATTCAAGTCCCTTTTCATAATTTAGTATCTGAAGTTCTTATGGTCTAAAACTTCATATGAAAATTTATATTAAAAATTAGAGTCTTATAATTTAAAAAAATATATATTTTATTGATTTTTTACAGAGAGGAAGGGAGAGAGATAGAGAGCTAGAAACATCCATGAGAGAGAAATATCGACCAGCTGCCTCTTGCACACCCCCTACCGGGGATGTGCCTGCAACCAAGGTACATGCCCTTGATCAGAATTGAACCCGAGACCTTTCAGTCCACTGACTGACACACTATACCACTGAGCCAAACCGGTTTCAGCGAGTCTTATCATTTTTGATTATCATAACCTGTTTTGGTCAAATTCAGAAACACTAAAATAGATAATAATCAAAGTTGGCTAAGGTAATAGAGTACATATCTAAACTAATCAAATATAATTATTTTAATCACAGCGTAATAACATTCCCAGTACATCAAGAAACTGGAGGATTGTGACTCTGATTTCAAGGAGTTACTTGATTTTTAATAGCAATTAGCTCCTACTCAAATGTAATGTGGTGATATGCAACAACCCTGAAGAATGACCATACTTGGTATATTACTATATACGAAGTTCAATATGAGATGTAATGATGGTGCTTTCCAACAGCAGTGTTCTTGGCAGCATTCAGTAAGTCCTCCTGTATTTATAAATAGTGGAAGTAGTAATAGTACCTACTTTATGGAACAGGATGTCTAAATGAAGCATTGCATATTTTACACTAAGTATAGGGCCCAGCACAGAGTAATGTTCAGAACTATATTAAAAGGTATTATCATGTACATGTATTGTTGATCTAATACCTTCTAGCATCTAATTTAATCTTCATAATACCACAGTGTTATTATCTAAATATATAAACTATCTCTTTCCATATAAAAGCCTAATATTCAAATTGTCCCTCCAGGAGTTTAAGCGGGGGACCACTCATTCCCTACGACAGACATGCGCTGACCACCAGGGGGCAGTTTGGAATGAAGGAAGGTCCTGGCCAGTGTCCTGAAGGCCCTGATCCCTGATCAGTCCTAATTGCCGGCCAGGCCTAGGGACCCTACCAGTGCATAACTTTCATGTACCAGGCCTCTAGTAGAAAAACAAAGTATCTTGATGAAAATAAGATAATGAGTGATAGAAGCAAAATTTGGATTATATGTTCTGATTCTATGGCTAATACTCTTTCTGCTATACCATTCTCTCTACTGTGTTCCATGTGATCATAATTCTGGTATTGTTATTTGCAATAAAATAGTGTATATCACTGGAAAGTATCTTTTTCATAATAGACTATATGAACTATAGTCTATTATGAATATAGGACTACTATATTTTGTCTATTTTTAATATAATTTATTATTTTAATTAGAATTTTAACCTTTACTTATATATTAATATTCAATAAGTATATAGGAGTCTGTGATAATATCTAAATCATTTTTAAAAATATATATTTTATTGATTTTTCACAGAGAGGAAGAGAGAGGAACAGAGAGTTAGAAACATCGATGAGAGAGGATCATCGATCAGCTGCCTCTTGCACACCCTCTACTGGGGATGTGCCCGCACCCAGGTCCATGCCCTTGACCGGAATCAAACCTGGGACCCTTCAGTCCATTGAGCCAAACTGGTTTCGGCTCTCTAAATAATTTTTAAGGTGAAGTAAGATATTCTTTAGATTCTTTAATGCCACTTAAAATTATTTAGCATCAATATTCTGATTGAGTAAGAAATGTTTGAAAATGAATTTGCAAACTAGGAAATTGAAAGAGGAATTTATAAACTAGATAGGTCAATTAGCTCATTGTAAAATATAAATCAAAAGTTTGCATGTATTCTTACATATTTAAATTGTACTCACAATTGGAATCAGTTAGCCTCTGGAATTTGAAAGCCGATTTCCACCAATCCGATCCATGGGGATGCCAAATCGCCTTTTTGGATGATCTACTACTTTCCTGAAACCAACCAAAGAGAACATTTTTAAGCTAAAGTCCAAGTGGTCAATTGTTACTTTTGTTCTTTTAGTTCCTGCAGATCATGGGGCTTTCTTTGAGAGTTGAAATAACTATGATAGTTATCCATCATCAGCACTCATTCTGTGCTAGACACAATCTCTTATCCTTTTGACATCTGTGGAAGTAGGTGTTATTACCTCCTTTTTACATCTGAAGAAACTGAAGCTTGGTGAAACTAAGTAAGTTACCCAAAGGCAAACAGCAGATGAAAAGCTAGGTCTTATCAGCAAACCAATTTGCTTGTTATTCATTCATTCATTTATTATTTTACTTAATTCAGCCTTTTCTGCTGATTCACACTCATCTTCCTTTTTAGGCTGGCCTTTAGTTTTTCTAGTTAATGCAGATAACATTTTAAGTATGAACTGGTCTTTTGGAGACTAGTTTGATCAGTGGACGATAAATACAGGTTGGGGGGTGGGGGATGGAGAACAGTGCTTATACTCAACCTATCCATACCTCTGCCTCCATTCTTCAGAGTTCCAAAAGACACACCCTCTTAAGTGGTGCCTATTTATTGTACTTCTTGATTTCTTGACATTAAATTAACTATGTATTTTTTAACTTGATAATTTAATGGAAAACATGATCTGTAACTTAGCATAAAATTAATGGTCAAGAATTATTGAGAAGCTGTGCATACCTGTCAGTGTGCTTTAGGTCTTCTGATATCATTATAAATAATGACTTGAAACAGAGTGTATTCTTGTACTATTTATTTTTATTGTATTACTTTTCATATAAACAACTG